CTTCATATGAGGGAGAGGCTTTGGAGAGGTAACTCCACATGAAAAGAAATAAAAATAATTCTCCCACCACGGGACCACCACAACCAACAACCCAATGCGACATCGGTGATTTACAGTGATGACGAGCTCTAAATCCGTGCATCTTTAGCGAGCGAGAGAATCTCCCCGCGGGCCCTGAGGGTGCAATCCACCCCCGCCTGCATGGGGGGCGGCCATCATCCAAGGGCAATTGCCAGAGTCGCATCAAAAGGGAAACCCGGGGAGGACGGCACGCTGCAGCCCCACCATCCCGAGGGATCCTCTCGGCGCAATACCGCCCGAAATCGACTACCCCCTTCGGTCCCGGGACATGTCAGACTACGCCTTGGCGCCCGGCCCGCGACGACATACAAAGACGGTGATGCAAGTCTTCACCTCTCAACATCATCCCTCTCTCTGACGCCATTCTTCTACCCATCTCACCTATACTCCTATGATAAGAACATGCCCCCTCTTACACTGACGCCGGCCGAGGTATCAAGACACAACCGCCTCGACGACCTCTGGCTCGCAATCGACGGCGCCGTCTACGACTTCACAGACTTTGTTCGCGAACACCCGGGCGGCATCGCCGTGATTCTCAAGTGCGCAGGCAAAGACGCCACAGAAGTCTACTCTGAAGTCCACGGGCCCAACCTGGTCAAGTCGACCATTCCCACCTCGCACCACAAGGGCGTCCTACCCCTGGGAGCCATCATGGCGAAACCTCAACCTCACAAGTGGCCGCAGCAGCAGCAGCAGCATCGAGATCCATCCCAAAAACAAGACAGCCAAACACCACCAACACCACCAACCATGCCCTCAAAGCCTCCCCTCACAACCCTCATCAGCGCCCACGACTTCGAATCCGCAGCCTCCACCTCCTTCTCCCCCAAAGCCTGGGCCTTCGTCTCCTCCGCCGCAACAGACCTCTTCACAAAAACCCGCAACGCGACCCTCTACTCCCAAATCACCCTCCGCCCCCGCGTCCTCGTCGACGTCGCCGCCGTCTCCACCGCCACAACCATGCTCTCCCACCCGATGCGCGCCCCCATCTTCTGCCCGCCCACCGCAATGGCCCGCCTCGTCCACCCCGAAGGCGAAAAGGAACTCGGCCGCGCCTGCAAATCCGCCGGCGTCCCGCAGTGCGTCTCCGTCTCCGCCTCGTTTCCGCTCGAGGACATCCTCGCCGCCCAGCGCGAGCACAAACCCGCAACTCCCTACGACGTCCCCGTCTTCTTCCAGCTCTACGTCGACAAGAACCGCGCCAACTCGGAACGCCTGCTGCGCTCCGCCCAGGCACAGGGCGTGAAAGCCCTCTTCCTCACAATCGACGCCCCGATCCCCGGAAAACGCGAGGCTGACGAGCGCGTGGCCTCCGACGAGTCCCTGGGCTCCCCCATCTCCGGCGCCCGCGCCGTCAACGACGCCAAGGGTGGCGCCCTCGGCCGTATCATGGGCAGCTACATCGACGCCTCGGTGAGCTGGTCCGACATTGCCTGGCTGCGCCGCACCGTCCCGGGTCTCCCCATCGTCCTCAAGGGCGTGCAGACGTGGATGGACGCCGAGCGGGCCGTCGAGGTCGGTGTCGAGGCCATTGTCCTCTCCAACCACGGCGGGCGGAGCCTCGATACCTCCCCTGCGACCATCATGGTGCTGCTGGAGCTGCAGAAGAATTGCCCGCACGTGTTTGACAGGGTCGAGGTGTACGTGGACGGCGGCATCTCGCGTGGGACGGATATCTTCAAGGCCTTGTGTCTTGGTGCCAAGGCCGTGGGTGTTGGGAGGGGTTTGTTATATGGGCTTAATTATGGTGCTGAGGGCGTGGAGCGATACATTGAGAGTGAGTACTTTTTTTTTTCCCCTTCTTTTTTCGAATACCATTTTGTTGCAGCTTTCCGGGCGAATGCATACGCTGTGAGATGTATAATCGGAATACTGACTTATTCGTAGTCCTGCGAGACGAACTGGAAACGACGATGAAAATGTGCGGTGTCACAGACCTAAACCAAGTCCACCCAGGTTTCCTCAATACCTTGGCCGTGGACCACCTCATCCCGGGACGACATGATAACCCAAATACACCCTGGCGCCGTGATCTACACAGCAAGCTGTAATCAGTTTAACGATTATGAAACCCAGCGCACAAGCAGTTGACATGTCTCACGACATCTCTTGGCAATCTCATGGTTTATATATATCTCAATTGCATTAGAGAGGGTTTCATACGCCCATTGAGGCCATGTAAAAGACTTTGGGTATTACATATACACATAACGATAGTTGCCCCTCCCTCCAAAGAATCCTGTTCAACACCACTGCTGACTACACGTTCACAACAGCATTTGAGAGCGTGAGCTTCGTATCCATTCCAGCACCCCGCATTCATACTTGAAAATTAAATCCATCATTAAACCAAAACATCGACTGCGCTTTTCCACATTTGCCCGCCTCAGTCCACACTGACAGCCATTCAAGCCAACTCACGCAGCTCATTGTCGCCCCTGTGAGCAGGCAACTCAGACGCGAAGCCCGGCTGCTGGTGCTGGTGCTGCTGTGGTGCGGGTGGCTGTCCTTGAGCGGGAGCGTTGTAGTAGCCCCCTTGCTGTTGCGGGGGCTGCTGCTGGGGAGGATACGTTCCCTGCGTCGGGCTGACGCTGTTCTGAGACGGCACGTACTGCGGCACACCGGACTGGTAAGTGGGCGAGGGGCTCATGGGTGGCGGGCTGGCGGGCGGGCTGACGCCGTTGTTGCTCTGGTCGTAGGATCCCGTGGTGACGTCGTAGTGCTGCTTCATCATGCTCTGTCTGTTATTGTTGTTGTCCACAGGTGTGAAGCCCTGCGGGTAGTGTCCCTGCTGTTGCTGGGGAGGGTATCCTTGGGGCGACGGCTGCTGCGCTGGGGGACCAGGCTGCTGGTACATCTGCGGCTGTCCCTGGTTAGGCGGCGGGGGTCCGACATAAGACTGGTGGGCGGCCTGATTGTTGTTGACGTTGTTGGTGTCCTTCTTCTTCTTGCGGAGGAGGAAGATGATGCCGAAGACGATGAGTGCGATAGCCGCTACGCCTCCGACGACGCCGCCCACGATAGCACCAACGGGAGTGGACGAGCCGCCGCCGCCGCCACCACCACCGCTAGACGTGCTAGTAGTCGCTGCAGACGTAGCAGTGGTTGATGCGATGTTGCGGAGGGAGGTTGTTGACGGTGCTGTCGTCGACTCTTGGGTGACGGAAGAATCTGTAGGGTTTGCGTAGACAACAATCACTTCCTCGGTGGCAGCGCATGCATAAAGGGTATAACGGTTGAACAGCGAGCCCGAGTAGATGTAAGTGGCACACTCGGGTCTTTCCGAGGCAGTGCTAGAAGCATTCGTATGAGACATGGTTCACGTAGGAAAAGAAGAGCGACAGTATAACGTACCAGAGCTGCATACGAGTATCACCACTGCTGGCGCGACTAGCCGACCTTGATGGGAGACAGCTCGTAGCAATTGTGGTGCAGTCTGTGACTGAGGAAGAGCTACAGCAACCAACAACAGAATAGAAGCTGTTGATGACACAGGATCCAGTACCGCAGTAGATGGAGTTGGCTAGAGAGAGGTCAGCATCCTTTACAAACCACCATTCTCTGTTCATCATAAGATTGTATACTTACTAGCTTCTCCAGAGATGTAACCACAGGTGTCGTCGCCTCTTACACGCTTGGCCAGCTTCAGGTCGACATTGCCGGGCTCAGGCGCCGCAGTGGGCTTCGGACTGAAGCCGAGCTCCTCCATGTTCATCGCAGCAATGGTCTGCCTGGGTGGAGACCAGCTTGGGGTATCGTCCTGCCATCTCAGCGCCTTGGACTCCACGCCCAGGTACAAGCAAGCAAGAGCTCCGAGTTGAATGAATCTCCCCATGTTGAAGCTGTAACGATCTGTTTCCTGTGTCTTTACAGAATAATACGATGTGGAGGAAAAGTGCGAGAAAAAGGGGGGAGAAGGGAGGGATAAGAAGAGAGACGAGGGCTCCAGAGAAGGATGCGGGAGAAAAGGGAGACAGATACAGCCAGCCGGGCAATCCCAGCTCGGGCTGAGATGAAAAGTTACCGAATAGAACGCGCCCTGCGGGTGAGCCAATAGACCATGGCGTCCAACAACGCCAATGAGGCTCAAAGGAGGGATACACCAAGGGTCCAGCTCCAAGTCTCCTGCACTTGACCGTTCGTATCTTGGCCCGGGGTATAGAGGCTGGTTGGGATTGGACCATGTGGAAACTCCGCCTCGTGAGGTGCGGGTATGGACCGATGCGCGTTGGTAGCGTTATTCGACCAGCCTGGCAAGGCAGACAGCCAGATGATCATTCCAAAGCCGTTTTTCTTTTCTGAAACCTAGTTACATATCTCGTCGAGTTGACTCAAGGGGGTAGATCTCACGTACCTTTGCCCCTCTTTTGCTCACTTACATGGAGATCACTTGATCCAATTCGTGTCTCCTGCGCAGCTTCGTACGCTTTCGACTCGCGACTGAGGAACTCACTTGAGTCTTGATAAACTCCTACGGATACGGACTGTAAGCAACAAACAAGGCTTTGCGCCCTATGTCACGACAACTCATCTTTGGTGATGAGCTTTTGGCGTGATAGCGGTGTGGTGGAGTCTAGCGGTGCCTAAGACAAGACTATCATGGCCTTTAGCCCGAACCGGAGAATGTGGCTTGCAGCTGAAGGCAGACCTCAGTCCAGCTCCTGGTCAACTCGCCAAAACCACCCAATCAGATGTCGGCCAGCTGAAATGCGTGCAGCGAGCTTGACTGACGATCCCGTGTAATCTTTGCCGAAAACCCCGGACGGGTTGACAGGCCCCTGTTGGCAACGACTCGGACAGCCTTGAATGTCGAAAAAGGGTTCCGTCGCGCCCCGCCTGGCTGTTAAACTAAGGGTCTCTCGCATCCACAGCGGAATCGGAGTCTTTGCGCGGAACGCGCCCAGAAACAACGCAATTTAGGCATCCTTTGCGCGCCAGGTGCTTTTATACCATACCGTCGCCTGGCCCCGGCTACATTCTGCCGGTCCGCCGGCAACGGACAACAACGATGGAACGCTCGATTGTGCGACAGCATCAGGCAGAGTAGCTGAGACTCCATGAGAAGTGTTGAAAAGCTCTTATCTTGAGGACGAAACGACTGATTCTTGAAGCCGAGCCGAGCTTTTGTGGCTGGCTTGGAGAATTTCTGCTCTTCATGTAGCCAGCCCGAGTGCTCACGTGTATGTGATCTATCAGAAAACATAGTTAGCATGGTATGCTTATACGGAGTAGATCATCATCTCGTTTTCTAAAACAATGCATATGAAACAAGAAGAAAACCAGCAGGGTCTTTCGCAATATCTCATTAGGTATTCTCCAAATGATCGAACCGCCGAGTGGCTTAGAAAATCGAGAGGCTCGTTTGATATCAAAATCTCACTTCAGCTTTCTTTTCGTTCCATTTCGGTGAAAATGGTAAACAACCGAGGCGATTTGCTACGGCTATTTAGTTTAGAGAGTCAGTTCCAACCAACACTTGACGAGTATCAACGCTTGACAATTTTACCGTGTAGCAATGAGTCGCGATTCGCAACTAACGGGCGACCCAACAAGAAGTCGAGCTGTCGATTGGCATGATAAATTCGGTTCCTAGAGATCAAATGTGGCCATATGAGGCAGTGATTTTCAGAACTTCCCACGATCGTTCTCTCGTGACGCGGGAAGCGGCTGATTCTTGAGCCGCGAAGCGGAGACAACGGTATGAAATCGAAGGCGCTGGAGTCCTAATGCTGGACTACGTTGTGGCCTGTTTGCTCATTGATAAGAACTGGTCATGGCTTGGAGTGGCTTCACGATCGTCTCCATCTCACTGTACCTAGTCCTCGCTGGCAAGTCGATCTGAGTGAGCATCGAGGAACGACCGATCAGGCCACGTCGCGGACGTCTCTTCTTTGAATGATCCGGTCGATCATCGGATGTTCTGGAAAGATACCAAATCGGCAAATTTGACATCGGTAACCAACGCCATCTCGGACGATGGATACCCCTAGCTTGCTAGGCCATCGAATGCCACAGCGGCAATTCGAGACGACGCAGTGTATAAAGCAACGGCGTGACATCAGCCATAGAATTTGACACAAATTTGTCAGAAATTTCGATGGCGGCTTCTAAAGAAGAGCGTCTGAATCGGTATCGGGGCGATGATGAGCACCATGGACGGCTCTTGCGGCGCGCCATAGGCCGTAGCCTCTCAACTACCACACGAAATAGCAATAAAAGTTTCCGAAAGTTGCAGGGTCAAAGGACTGTCTGATGAAGAACCGAGACGGATCGACGTGAAGGCACGCAACTGGATAGACAATGACGGTGTCGGGTCAGAAGCTTACACAAGCGTTACTGTGCCTTTGCCGGTCTGGTCCGATTGCAAGTGAGCAGGAGGATAGCCTTGAATCCTATCGTATTTCCACCGTGAGCTTTCTTTTCGTGCCATTCGGAGTTCATTGCCTACATCCGCTCGGCTAGGCGAAGCCGCGAACGACAGCAAGTCGTCGACACGGTGACCCCGTGCAACTCGATGGTTATCGCTGAATTTCTTCCAGCCTACAGATGAAGTCAATTAGGATCCAACATAGCCCAACATTCCAAATTCAACTCGCGAGCAACTCCCAGCTTCCGAGAGAGTTCATCACCCCTCGGAAATGAACTGCATCCCGTTTTGGACCCTCAGCTGTGCGACACTCGTACATGATGGACCATTTGTAACATACCGAGTCCTGCAGGGGTAACGTCTGGTCCTCTGTGAAACCATGAATGTATAATCGTACCACTGTGACATAGTTGAAGCATCTCGCAGGACACAAGTAAATTGTGGCCAAAGCTACTTCGATTCTGTAGCGATGAGTGCCTAGTCCGTGCAAGATCCGTATAGCCCGAGACAATGAGCCAAGGGCTGGAATTTGGCAACTACTGGGCTACAGAAGGAGTGCGTGGATTTCCAGAGGATGTGCTAGACGCAGGCAACAGAAGTTGCTGGCATAGCTGTAAGCACATTTGGAGACAATGATGGGCCTCTCTTAACCTTGAAGTCATGGTTCGTGTGATTAAGGTACTGGTCTGTGATTATGCCGTGGATCTCAGTGGGGTTGGCGTAAACGGTCCCGTTTCCTTCCAGCTTTGTCTGTCTGACCATACACCACGGCTGACAGACCGTTGTTCGAGGGAACGGTGAAAGCGTCTGATCACGCTAATGGTTCCTGAAGCGCCGGTCCTTGATGGTGTGAAGTTCCGCTTAGGCCCGAAGGCGCAGCGACAAGTGGAAGCAATAGCTGCTTGTCGATAATGTCGTCCAAATATTCAGAGACGTGTAGTTCGCAGAGCCTCAAGGTTGAGATGAAGTGTGCAGGGTTGGAGCGTCTCAAGATCCCGACGTCAAGCAGGGGCTAAGAATGGTGGCCAACTCACCAATATACAGGCCAACCAGGATCCCTGGCCGGCACGCCAGAGGTAGAAGAGTGCTATTCGTGACATTAGCACTGAACCTATGCCGTACATATTCGATCAGAAGCTATGCGAGGCCTTGAACTCGGCTTCTCGCGAATTGGGGATGTCGGAATGTCAAGCCGCATCGAATGCACTGGACCATTTGGTATCGGCCGCTACTTCCGACAGAGCATAGCACACATGCTGCGCATCTTCGAGCTGATCTTTGTTGCCCACCACATGAAAGTTGATGATGTAGTACATGCAGACCCTGAAAAGCTACCGTCTGACTGGAACGATGCTGTGGCCAGATCCGGGACCCCGAGATCTCAATAGGCGCCGCCGTTCTGTGCTTTGCATGTCGCACCACTAAAAGGCCGCTAGCTGATAGCCAGGGTTGGCAACTAAGTAAGGGAAGTCGGTGAGGGCTGGTGGCCGATCGTACATGAGGGTTGGCGGCATCGACTGCATGTTCCGAGCACATCCAGCCGGCTAGCTGCATGTCTCTTGCTCGACGGGGGGTCTGCCAGAACTGCGTTCTCGACCTAGATGTATTGTATCTGGTTGCTCAAGAGGCTGGATGTTCAGGTATGGTGGTAGGATGGGTGGTTGGCAGTGAGAATGGCAGTCAAACCGATGTACTGGGCCGAGAGCTTAGAGGGACGTCTTTAGCAGACCAAAGCAAGATTGACGCATCGATCGAGGCGTCTATCAGTATCCTTGGCGAAAGCGGAATCTTGACGTAGATGTTTTTTCAAAGTTCTGCCCACTGTATGACGACAAATCCCACTGGTCTTTGCAGCTTTGGAATCGCTACGGAGTACATGCCACAATGATGGCGCAACGCCGGGTGCTCTTCGAGGGGCACAGGGACCAGAGCCATGGTAGAGCATAATGTGGAATCTGCAAGGCGGCTGTCTGATGCCCCTGTAGATCGTTCCCGTGATGCTAAGCTACTCTGACTCGTAGCGCCATGCTTATCGGTGGATATCAAAGAGTATGTTGTCTCAGACGACTGGTGCGGTGGCTGTCCTTTACATCCATCTACCCATCTAGGTATATTTGTCAAGGTGCAGGACGTGGAGAGGTGGCACTGGCCGCCCCTACCAGTCGGGCAGTATCACATATGACGGGCGAGAGCTGATGCCGGCGAACTTTTGCTAGGCATGGGCCACGAATGACCAAGCGTTGCTAGTTGGGGTCGGAGAATTAAATCGGGAACCATCGCTAAGGCCAACAGGGCCACTAGGTACTCTGAAGACAAGGTGTTAGGACCTGAAGGCAGCAAATTCGGCTCGCCTTGGAGTTTGCATCGCTAATATCGCGTCGTCGATAGCCGAACCCAAGGGTATTTGGTAGCACGCATGTAGGGCTCTCATAATCCTAACCGTTTTCGATGAGTGGTCCGAAGAGCAACTGCGGCTGTCCCGAGGTGAGGGTGGCATGACAGCCTGCTCATTCTAGGAAAAACTTGATGGATGACTAGAGTTGAGGGAGGCTAATGTATTTGGAATCGGGTCTCGTTGGGGCGCGCGTGTACATTTTGGAGCTGGACTCTGACTGCGAGACGGAACAAGGACGTGTGGTAGGGGAGTATGGGTTGGCTCGGGGATACGTTGGTTGGTAGGCCAAGGGGATGCTCCGAGCCCTAGTCGGTCGAACCAGATCTGCCAGAGAAGACGAATCGAATATTGGGACCGGGCAGATGGCCAGACGGGAGATCAACTTGGGGATGATCTTTCAGAGACAGACAAGTTGACAATGTCTCGGTCGACCGAGCCACTAGTTCGTCCAGCTTCCTGCTTAATCCAATGAGCTTCTGTGCTTCTGTTCCGAATGTCTATAGCAGCATGAGGACGCACCGAATCAGACAGATCAAAGAGCCCTTGGCTCAGCGTTACCTACTGTACGGATACAAGCAAGAGACATTTAGGTAGCGGCTTGAGGTCGAGAATCAGGTTGGCCCCGTTCATTCACTTCTCGGCCGGAGCAGGGGTTGAATCCCTGCCACCACGCACGTCTGTCGCTCACGGCTTCGTCCGCAGTCCAAACTGATGTTCTCGTCGACGTAAGAGACCGATGTACGCGTTTCTGGTCCGAGATACAGCAAGAAGCCATGTTGTGCAACACGATCTTGTGGGAGAATTCTGCTAGATCGGCGGGGTCACGATGACTTGCGAATGCAACCCGTCGATATAGCGGCCATTGCTTGAGTAAGTGACCTTTGTGTAGGACAAGGCCCGAAAATAAATGGAAAACGCGACTCCATGTGGAACTGCAGACCTCGCAAGTTGGTGTATTGGTGATACATGGAAGGAATATCTATATGTGTACTCCGTACTGACAACATCGAAACGTCGGCGCGTGAGAGTCGAAAGAACGTATCTGGTTTGGTGTACCCAAGCCGTTACGCCTTATGTAATGGGTCTTGGCTTAGATGCGTTCCCCACGCCTGCACTCGACCGGAAGATGCAACGAAATCTGCGGTTCGTTGGGCGCTTGGAGGAGAGTCTTGCATGCCTCAGCGGACTCGACCGGACGCGCCTGATCCGGGTTGTTGCATGATCCGCTAAAATACTTAGGCAGCTGAGCAATGGGGCCGGCTAACCGGAGCTTTGATGCCGCGCCCATGGTTGTCCAGATCACCTGGAGTGAGAGCGCCTTCATGGTTGTGAACTGATATTGGTCTGGCTCTGCTCCCATGGGCTGCTTCGTTCGTCACTTTTTCAGTGGTGCAAGGGCAGCTGAAAGACATCGTCATTGAGTAGTCGCCTGCGGCGGTGA